TAGTTAGAAAAAATGAATAAGACCCACTATTTGACAGCACAACAGTGACTATAGTCAATAATAATTATATATTTAAAAATAACTAAAAGAGTATAATTGGATTGTTTGTAACACAAAGGATAAATGCTTGAGGGGATGGATACCCTATTCGCAGTGATGAGATTATTACACGTTTTATAAGTGTATCGAAACATCCTATGTAGCCCATGAACATATACACCTATTTAGCCACAAAAAAATTTTTTTAATTAAAAAACATTTTAAAGCTATCTCCTACCATAAGTAGAAAGAGATGAAGACAGGAAAAAGTAGCCTGCCTAATTGAGTTTCACAAATACAGAATCCTAATAGTTTTTAAACATTAGGGTAAAGGGATAGAAAAGGAATCTGTGAATGAGGCCATCAGGAAACAGATCTGTCTAAATCAAAAAGCTTTATCTGTAGTCACAACCCAAGAAGGGACTTATATGATTTAACCCCAAACTTACATGACTATCTCAAGTAGATACCAAGTTTACTTGAATATTCCAAATGACTCAGAACTCATCACTAAAGGAGTTCAATTGTTGGCTGTTTTTAAGAGTTATTTATTAGAGACTTACTTAGAGTTAATTATCAAAGACTTCTTTATACTAATCCTAAAAGCTGTTGCTAAGTCACTTTCCATGGAGCCAAATAAAACAAGGTGAATCTCTGTGGGAGGTGTCATATTCTCTCTTAATAGTAAATCTAAAACAGTCTAGCAATGTATATACCCCTAGATTTACTCATTATTATATTATAAGATCCTCCAAATCTAAGAGTGCAACATAGGCATGTACATGTGCCATTTTTGATGAGCTAAACTAGATAATCTCTAAATTTCTAAGATTTTATTAAATATACATTTATAAGATTCCTTTTTTAAAAAAATTAAATTATCTCAAAATTTAAAATGTGACTCCTAGGTCTCTAGGTAAATTCAGTAAAAGGGGCTCTCAAATTATTTCCAATTCAAACATCTAACAGTTCTACTTCACCTACACACAGTAAAACTACAATGCCCTATTTTTTAGAGAAGCTGTAAAACTATATTCTTTTGCCCAATATTCCCACTGCCAAGAATTCATAAGGAAAAATGTAAACATGAATAACATGCGATATATACAAAGGTATTCAAAGCATCTTATCTATATCAGCAAAAAATAGATACCACCAAAGTACCCAAGAGTGGGGGGAAGGAAAATGGGGAAAAATTACACCTATTAAAACATATTTTGAACACTAGATAGAAACAGGAGAGTTTGGTACATTAAAGAACCAAGAGATCACAAACTCTTCTAGGCTATGATTTTAACTATAGGTAATATGTAAAAGGCTGGTGACGTTGTGGGTGATGGTTTTTTTTTTTTTTTTGTCTTCAAATTTGTCTCTGGCATTATGGTTGCATAATTTTTAAGCTAAAAATGAAAAATATAAAGCTATTTCCAAATCATCTAACCTTAACATCTAAAACGAGGTAAGATCCCCCTGTCCCCAACAGGAGAAGCATGCTGCCAAACTTAACTTAGAAGTGCCATTAACTAAATCACCCATGGTTGAGACTGCTAAAATAGAAATACTTAAGTCTATTTAAATGGTCAGAAAGCCTGCTAAATCTAAAACGTGCATTTATGAAACACAAGATGCTATTTTGCTGATTCATTGAGGGAGTTCATGTCATGTTTTGATTATATAATCCCCCCCATAATTCAGAAACTTAAAACAGCTGGTTTTATCTTAATGATTAAGCTTCTGAGGGACTAGTGTGCAAAGGCTAGGTTATTTCATTTTAATAAATAATGTATCTATACATCTGAAGAGAGTTCAACCCAGAAACACCGAAAGCAAATTGAAATGGAAAGTATGAAGAAAATTTACAATCTTTAGGAAAAGTAGAGATGGAGTATGGAAAAGCGATAAATTGAAGTAGGAAGATCGATGGCTTAATGTGTGAATTAACAATACTAAACAATCCTTGCTGGGCTGTTTCCTGGGTCCAGAACTTGCAGGTGGTCCTCAGGAGCTCATCTAGGAGTTACTACTCTTTGTCCTGTGGCAGAAAGCTGCCCATACACCTGAGTTAAGCACAGTCTGAGTTAAGCACTGTTTGTCAGAGAAACAGTAAAGTCTAGCAGGCTTCAAATCCAATATTAAAATCCTTCAATCCTGAATATCCCCTAATTTCTCATGTACACCACAATTCAATCTAAGAAATACTGAAAAGAAATGCAGGTAGAAGCTCATTAAATACTTCCATCACTTGATCAGAAATATTATCAATTTCTTCTAGCAACCAGGAAACTGGATAGGTTTGTACAGGACTGGGCTTAGAAAGAAAACCGCAATCAACTAATTTAGACAAAGCATTAGTATCACAGCAGAAAAAGTTCCCTCCTCCCTTACTGCACACGCCAAATTTTTATTGCTCATCTTTTTCATAATGGGGTGGGAGTGGAGGATAGGAAAGAGATGAATAATGGAGCAAAACAGAAAATAATAATAGAGAAAAACACAAAGATTTCTAAAGGGAATGCATAGACCAAAGAAGGGTGTTGGGTATTAATAGCTTAAAAAAAAAAAAAAAGGCAAAACCCAAAACATCAGAACTGGCAAGCAACTGGGGCCTAGTATCACTTAATCAGCACATTTTCTCTTTAAAGGAACATCTAAATAAAAAGCCAAATTACAATAAAAAGGCAAGTATATTCTCAGAATGAGGTTCCATAATGATTACAAATTTTTAATCTTGATACCTCAGGCTTCACTGTAAGACATAACTGCCAATTAAGTCAAGCATTAGTGTTGGCTTATCAGGCACCCTCCCCTGAGTGATATCAAGATTAAGTGACTTATTCTTGCTCTTAGGCACCCCTTCTTTTCATCTTCATGCTGACCATAGCCCTCACATTAAAAATACAGTCTTTGTTCAGACTGGCCACAATACAATTTTTTCAGCTTTAGCTTTATTTCATAAAATATTTTCATGCCCTCTACCCTAACTCCTTGATTCAAGTCACCTTGACTATACTGGAATGTTAGGCTATCTCTTCCACAGGCCATCTATTGAGTCAACTGGTTTCATTCATCAGACTGTAGATAAAATTCAATGAGTATCTTGATCAATCTCCTAAATACTGATACAGTAGAGGAATCATCTCCTTTTAGAAAGTTTCATTAAATTAAATATGACTCAAATGACAAATAAATGTAGTAGAAGCACATTATTTTAGATTACTCTGAGGGACTGGATAACACCATCCAGTGATGGTCAAGAGTGATGAAGATAGGACCACTGTTAAAACCAACATCTGTAGAGAATCACAAAACCAAACCCAGAGGTCCCTTAAGAAATCTGTTAGAGTAAATGGCAAGAATCATGAGACTTTTCTAGTCTACTTTGAAGAGCTCCAGATATATTCTACAACCTTCCTCTACAGCACACTCAAGCAATTCTTATACCCAGGATGGTTAAGATTTTCTTATAATCAAGATCTCTCCTCGTGGAGCCCTTTCAAGGTAAAAGGCTAGGTTCAGACAAATTAAATGTTTAATATAATTGCGAATTCTTTAGTTTTCATCCGAAATCATTGCCTCACAGTAAAATAAGAAAAAAGTCATATAGATCATCTCACTTTTGTCAATAATCTTAAAAAATTTTAAATTATTTAAAAGGTACCGTATATAACATAAAAATTAGAAAATAAAACATACATAGAAATCTGTAATTTTGTACAACAAAATATTTCATGGGTGAAAGTTTAAACTATTAGATGAAGTTTTTAAAAAGGCAGATCTGGCTGGGCGCGGTGGCTCAAGCCTGTAATCCCAGCACTTTGGGAGGTGGAGGCGGGTGGATCATGAAGTCAAGAGACCATCCTGGTCAACATTGTGAAACCTGTCTCTACTAAAAACACAAAAACATTAGCAGGGCATGGTGGCATGTGCCTGTAATCCCAGCTACTCAGGAGGCTGAGGCAGGAGAATTGCCTGAACCCAGGAGGCAGAGGTTGCAGTGAGCCGAGATCACGCCATTGCACTCCAGCCTGGCTAACGGGAGCAAAACTCCGCCTCAAAAAAAAAAAAAAAGGCAGATATATGAACTAAAAAGTAGCCTATACTCCTGAATTCAACCATAACAAAGGTACTTAATCTAATTTAATAGCATTGAGTCCTTCTATAGATTTTTACCTATAGAAAATAAGACAAAATTGATCCATTGCGTATTTAGCAAAACTACAGTCTTCTATTGTGTAAACACAAATAACAAGATAACTATATAACTCAAAACTTTAAAGTTTGAATTTACACTAGACACACTGTATTTTCAGAAAATGCATATTTTCTAAATTGTGTTAAGAAAAATCCTTAAAACTATTCAACCAAAACAGGCCAATTACATATCTTGTTGACAATTTTCTTCCAATAATAATGTGTTGCTAAAGGACACTAAATGTCTTATCTTGGAGAGAATTCCCTCTTATTTTATCAGGCTAACTTACTATCTTTTAAGTCTTGGCTGTTAACTTCTTCCACAGGACTTCCCCAAATCCAGATTAGACACCCTAGCTATATACTCCTGATAACACTTTATTCTTCCACTAACAAAGAATTTATACACTGAATTGCACCTGTCTAGAGGTCACAAATAAAATTAGAATAGCCTCAAAGTGGTAGAGCAATCAACCCTTCAGATTAGGCTGCAGTTGTGAATAAGGGGAGGTGGGCAGAGGCAGGAGGGCCATGAGTGAGAAAACCCCGTGGATGAGTACAATCCCTTGTGAGGGAGAAAGGCTTTGCAAAGGCTTCTCAGAGTAGTATGACAGCCAAACAGGACAGTAAGATTGTATAATGTGACTTACACTGATCCATTCACTTTTATAATGCATATAATGGTTTAAAAACTAGATGAGTCAATTTAAAGAAAAATGGTAGTATGCATTTTATTTTACTTAAAGATTCACAAACTGGACAAACCTCACCTGTCATAGGATCAAAGAGCTGATTAGCTTCTAAGTCTGTGAAAGTACTACTACAGACAGGACATTTGAAGGAAGCCCGGTTGGTAGAATCTCTCTCATCGGTCTCAATCCTCCTTCTCATGTGGTCCAATTTATATTTTACCACATTAACAAGAGTACGATAATTGATAAAGTAGTAGTTATGGCGAGTGGTTTTCCCGTCTGCAGCAGTCTCTACCCTCATTCTGCATTTGATAAACTTGTCTCCCTTTAAATTATTCAAAACTGATCGAAGTTGCTTCCGATCAAACTTCAGCAGCTCCAGCATATCCTCCTCTTTCACACAGGGGTTCCTGATCAAGATGTCCAAGGCCAAGGCATGCTCAATGCCATAAAATCCCCGGATCACGTACTTGGCTAACCTCTTCAGTGCTGCTGGAACTTCAGTGAGGACATCTGGGTCTGCCATCTTTGGCAATACTGAATTCAGAAAAAAAGAGAAAAATTAGCCAGGCATAAGGACACGGTAATCCTTTTAAATCTAGAATAGCCAACATGTTACTGGTAGCTTATAGCTACCACTATTCTTGGAGTGCCAGAGAAGTACTCAAAGAGTTTAAAAAGATTTCTAATACCTAAGCATTTAACAGAGCAGAACAAGATTTTCCTCTAGAGTACACAAAAGATTACACCCAAAAAGCTTTACATATTTCTAAAATGGCTACTTTTTATTTTGAGATCCACAGTACCATACTACGTGTGTTATGATCTACAGTGTGTTTGATTAAAAAGTAACTTCTTATTTATGAAACGATATATGTCAAGTCTATTTTATTTCAGAAAAGAAACAGAAAAAAACTACATGAAACGCTCACCATTCTTTGGGAATGCTGGAAACCCTGAGAAACCTAACAGTTAGCATTTCCTAAAAGTGTTTCCTTTCTCAAAATTTTTCTACCAAGATTCCAGGATGTTTTACATAGTCGGGCTTTCACAATAAAATCACAACAAACCAATAAACACATAAGTAATCACCACTGTTGCAAAACTGAAAAAAATAATACTTAGGTCCAGATAGTTTTACCAACCTTGAAAAATTAAATGTGATAATCAAGTAAGGACCATGCAGTCCTTAAAAGGATAGACAATAAGTGAGGGAGAGCAGCCCAAAATATTCTTAAATATTGGATCCCCTGCAAAGCAGAAACTAAGTGTATCTCATTTCCATGCCATGGCCCAGAAAGCTGTCTTCTCAAAGCCCATATTGGCATGTGGTTTACAAAAAGAACCTGAGCTTTGAATTTCAGAGTAGACAGCCTGTGTTTCGGTAACTATGTAGTCCTGAGCAAATCCCTTAAACAATTTCAAGTCACACTTTACTCTCTGAGAAATAAGGATGTTATCAACTACCTCAGTGAAATTGTTGTCATTAATAAGAATGTAATTAAAGTGCTTAGGAAGGACAGCTTCCATATCAACTTAACATGTTCCAAACTAAAAATGGTGAGGCTATCCACACAGATTAAATCAAGTTAAATTTCGCTAGTCCACAGGGAATTTTTTTTTTTATTTCTTTTAATAGAGACAGGGTCTCGCTATGTTGCCCAAGCTAGAGTTCAGTGGTGTGACTCAGCTCAAAGCAGACTCAAGCTTCTGGGCTCAAGCAATCCTTCCATCTCAGCTTCCCCAGTAGGCTGGGGTGCATACCACCATGACTGACTAATTTTTGTATTTTTTGTAGAGAGAGGGTTTCACTGTTTTGCCCAGGCTGGTCTTGAACTTCTGGGCTCAAGGGATCCACCCATCTTGGGGGCTTCCTAAAGTGCTGGGATTACAGGTGTGAGCCACCACAGCCAGCCCACAGGATAATTATTTTTTTTTTTGAGATAGGGTCTCGCTCTCTTACCTAGGCTGGAGTGCAGTGGCGCAAGCTTGGCTCACTGCAACCTCTGCCTCATGGGTTCAAGTGATCCTCCTGCCACAGCCTCCCGAGTAGCTGGGACTACAGGCATGCAACACCACACCCACATAATTTTGGAATTTTTAGTAAAGACAGGGTTTCACCATCTTGGCCAGGCTCCACAGGATAATTTTTAACAGAGACATCCCATTCAACTATTTCAATGGGGAATCATATTCTGTTGTTAATACTAGTTTCAACTGACCTTTTTATTTGAAATCAGTGGTTATCAACCCTAACAGATTTAATATCCTTTTTATAAGAAATATTTTGATATCCACAGTACCACACTACAAGGAAACTCTACACACCAATCTATAATCAATCTATGCACATATTTTGGGAGGAAAATATAAGGCCCATCTTGCAACATAGGAAAATTAAAAGAAAATATGTACTTTTGGTTATGAATACTCAGGTACGACTATATTCAATAAGATACAGCAAAGTAGCACCTAGATACAAATCTGTGAACCTAGAGCACTTCCTGTTACCCCAGGGCTTAAGGATGCCTGGCAAGTGCCTGGGCTCAACACCAAAGTAGTACCACAGCATACTACTGGACACACTTTTTCTCCTTTTCAGTTTGATCTATACATTGTACTTGAACCCAGTTTTGTTTTTTATTGTTTTACATCTTCAACAGTTGTCAGAACACAACATATGGCTTCAGAAACATTCAACGAAGAATGGCAGAAAAATGTCAACATAACCTGTTTACAGGATTATTTCCTACTATTGTATTCTCCTTACCCGCCCATACATGCCATGCCGCAGATTAAATTCTCAAGCCTGGTTGTAAGGCACAATCATCTAGGGAACATTTTAAGAATACTGACACTGGGCCCTATTCCCAAAGATTTTGTCTCAGGTGACCTGGAGGGGCCAGATTAGGCATCACACAATTTCTTAAAGCTCTTTAGGTGACTCTGCTATGTGAAAGTGCCTACTATATATCCTGCCAATGCCCATCCTGCATGGAGAGGGCCCTGTACCAGTTAATGCTGAGCCTGTTTCCTTTGCCTAAAACACCCTAGGAAGCCATGAGGACTAAAGGGAGTGAGTCAAGGATTCTACAATCCAACAGTTTTGGAGTTTAAATCCCAGTTCCAGCATTTCTTAGCCCCCCCTGACCCCAGAAAATTCTCAGACTCAGTTTCTTCATATATAAAAAGTAAGCAGGTCAGGTGCAGTGGCTAATGCCTGTAACTGCACACCTTGGGAGGCCAAGGTGGGAGGACTGTTTGAGCCCAGAAGTTCAAGACCAGTCCAGGCAACAGAGTAAGACCCCATGTCTCCAAAAATTTAAAAACTTAGACGGGTATGATGCCATGTACCTGTAGTACCAGTTGAGGTAGATCAACTGAGCCAGGAGGTCAAGGCTGCATTGACCCATAATTTTGCCACTGCACTCCAGCCTAGGTGACAGGGCATGACCCTAAAAAAAAAAAGAGTGATTAACGGTGCCCTGTTCATACAGTTAATGTGTGAACTCAGTGAGATAATTAATGCAAAGTGTTCTACCATCAGGGCTGGCATAAGAGTTCAATGAAGTATTGGTATTTGTAATAAATCCCCTATTTAGAAAAGTGACTCTTATAGCAGCATGAGGAATGGACTCAAGTGAGTGAAGGTGGAGGCACTGTGGAAGTATTGGGGGTATAGTAAGAAAACCTAAACTAAGGAAGAAGGCAAAAAATTGCAAGAAGAGAACAGAATGAATGAGTTATTACAGAAAAAAAGTCAAAAGGACCCAACAAAATATACTGCATACAGAGTATGAGAGTAGGAAAAATCTTAAATAGCTCTGTTTTGAGCCAGCATACCTAGGAAGGGAAAAGTACTGACATGAGTAATAGGTGACACCTGACGAGGAGCAGATTTGGAAGAAATAAGGAAATCACTTTTAGAAGTGTCTCTGAGGAAATACCATAGGATATTCCTCTGAATATTCCCAGCAGGTAGCAGAACAAATGAAAACTAGAGCTCAGGAATGAAATGAAGCTGTGCCGCCTTGTTCAAAATCTCCGCATTCTGAAATCCTCCTTCCTGACCACTGCTTTCTCTCCTCCACCACCTCCCACTCACGCTGAATCTCCTTACTCAATCTCTAGATGTCTTAGGTAAGAGTTCTCAAACTGGCAGCCCCCCACGCATTGTTTCACCCAAAGAACGTTTCAAAAATTTTCTGAATTAGTTGTCAACATTAAAATATTTTAAGAGCTCACATACATTTCAACTTCCAGCTCCTCTTGAAAAATTGAAAATATCTGAGGAAAAATAAAACCCATGTTCCGACATGAAAACAATAAGCTGAAGCCGAATAGCAGCTGGCATTATTAGGGAAGGAGTTTGGCTGGTCTCTGGAGACTTGTGAGTATGGGACCACCCAGGACCTTTGTTTCTTCCTTTGATCTTCACAGTCCATGAGTCATCTCCCAGCCTCACGTCCCTACCCCAGTCCAGACCCTCGTGTATTTTAATCATATAAACATTTAAGGACTACTGTGCATCAACCAGGCACGGAGCTACAGAAACAAAGTTGAAAAGAATGCACCCTCTGCCCTCTGTCTACCCTGTCAGCCTCATATCCAGCCACACTAGCATATTCTCAATTCCATAAGCCACATGTGCTTTCCCTACTTCCCAGGCCTTTGCACATGCTGTTCCTTCTGCCCCTACAGCTAAGCCCAAACTCCCTTCTCTTAATCATCCTTCAAGTCTCAAAAAACATTTCCTCATAGAGGCAGGTCTTCCCAGACTCCCCATAGTAGCATACAAGTATCCCCTTTCACATGTTCCATGGCTCTTTCCCCTTCTTGTACTTTCTCCGTCTCTATACCTAAGACCAGACTTTATCTTGTTCAGCAATTAATTTCCAGCCTCTAGCATAGCCAGACAAGCCCTTCCATAAAACTTTCCATATGTCTCCTAGGCACGTGTTGTTCCAACATGGCTCATTTTGCCAGCTTCCCCGCACTTCATTTCCTCCACACTCTTGCTTCCACAGCAGAATCAGACAGGCTATTTATTGGACACTCTCTTCTTAGATTTAAAATAGTTTTAAGCGGGAGGTGAGTGGATCAAATTCCCGATGTTAAAAGACTGCGCTGACTGCATAGTGGAGAACAAAACGAGAAAAGAGTGGATGCGGAGAGTATAGTTAGGTTACTTCAGTATACCACTACTCCAGTTCTAGAACAACTTTGATTCTACACATCTAACTGCGGTTTTCTGTTACTATATTTCATGGCACTTTGCACGCCTTCACACACATAGCGGCAGACTACCGCGAAACCTTAGGATCCAACTGCCCTACATGAGACGCGTTCGGTGATGTGCACGCCTCCCCAGTGCGAGACTGCGAGACCCCAAGACCCCAAACTCCCTCAGACTCTCCCAGTTGGGTCCAGGGCCACACTCGAGGCAGCCAAGCCCGGCCTAACCGAGGTCGCACACGGGCCGCTCCGGGTCAACGGTTCTTTAGAGGACCAAGGCAAGAGGGTAACTCATTAGGGGAGGATAATTAAGAGGGTGCGAAAGGAAGGAGAAATCATAAAATGCAATGCCCGGCCAGGGAACTCCGAACAAGGAACAGGGAACAAGGTTTACCAAAGCGAATCCTCGAACACTCCCACTACAGCCGCCCTCAGAGCTTCAACTACCGGCTTAAATGAGCCACGCCCTTGTGCGACAAAGAAAACGCATCTTTTCTGCGACTAGCTTTGGAAAACACCCCGATACCTTTTACCACACCAGCCAATCAGCTCAGTGAAGCCTTCGATCAGGCGAGTCACGCTACTAGCGGCCAATGAAATTGAAGGCTCTGTCCTCCATGCCCAACTCTGATTGGCTTATAATCCCGGAACAGGCGTTAACCCAGAGAAGGCAGTGGCAAGATGGCCTCCCTGGATCGAGTGAAGGTACTGGTGTTGGGAGACTCAGGTGAGAGGCTAAACTCATGTCTGGGACTCCAGACACTTTTGACTTATCCAATAACCCTCCCCTTAACTTTCTTCCCTCAATTTCCTGGCTCTTCGGCACGGGTCTGAAGTCCCTCCCAAGGCCTGAAGACTACACTTCCCAGAGGACTTTGCTCCGTGTGACGACGAGGCAGCGGCGGCGCGCGGGAGGGGGTCGCGGAGCTTGGGCCTTCTGCCTTCGCGGCTTTCCACATCGGTTTCCCAGGCGACACCAACCTAGCGTGTATTTTCAATTTAAAAAAAAAAAAAAAAGGCAGGCATTGTGTATTGCATCCGTTTCTGTGTTAAGGCTACAGAAGTTAGTAGAACAAAAAGTTAGAGATTTTGTTCATTAAGGAAGTCAAACGTTCATTGAGAAACGTGCACTGGCAAGCGCTTGGCATACGCTAACTCATTTAATTCTGAGGTCAGTCCTATTACCCATTTTACAGGTGAGAGTAGTGAGGCAGAGAGATGTAAATGACAGAATCCTTTTGAACACAGAGTCTACATACTTAGACGCTAAACTATAATTATGCAATGAAATACTGGGTAATGGTCCTGTTTTATTGTTAACTGAGCTTTTTATTTCCTTGTTTGGTCTTCATTGAAAACCTATTACTAGAGAAAGTAAAGAGTTTTATTCTGAAGCAGCAAGGATTTAATGCTGAGCCCAGTTTAATCCTAGCGTTAAAATTCTTTTTTCTTTTTATTTTTTTCTTTTATTTATTTTTTTTAATGAGTCCAAAAGTAACCGTTTACTGGTTACTAAAGGACTCTCTTTTTTATTTTTTAATCTCAATGGATGCAACCTGAGGTCGGGAGTTCAAGACCAGCCTGACCAACATGGTAAAACCCCCTCTTAAAAACATAAATGAAAGAAAGAAGGAAGGAAGGAAGGAAGGGAGGAAGGGAGGGAGGGAGGGAGGGAGGGAGGGAGGGAATTCTTTTGACACCTGGGACATTTGAGAACTACAGCTGACGCTGACATCTGCATTTCCAGCTCCCACCTCACTGCCCTTATCTTTTCCTCCATAATTCAAATAATTCAACTCCTTAAGAACTTCAATAAAATGCTAACTTTGCATTTTATGGATGTGCGGTTCTAGAGTTGGCCTAAGAGCGTGTGTTGTGAGCAAAGACATTGTGCTAGATGCTTGGAGGTGGAGAGGCCTAAAAACTACTCTTACAGAAACTAAATAAAATTGTGGCAGGCAAAGATATATTAAGGATGTTTTCACATTGCCCTGAATATTATTTACATTATGAAATATTTTACAGAGAGAATTATTTAATATTCCCCTAAGAAAGTTGCCTTTGAAACTCTATGAACATAACCACAATTTATGTCAACTTCATTTCTTTGTCAGGTAGCTTGAAGTGGTGCCAAAGTTAATTTAATAAAATCACTCAGTTTTACAGATAAAAAAAGTAATGGTGGCCTAAAGGGACTTGGCAAGAGTATTACCAAGTAGAATTTAAGACTGGAATTGAGAACTAACAGACTTCTTCATGATGTGTGAAGTGGGTGTTTTCTGTCCTCTATAATTCCATTTTCTGTTGTATCTAACAATCCCTTCATATTACAAACTGCTGCAACTAGTCAATTTATTTTCTTTCCAACATGCACTGTTTTAGGTTCTGGGGTTATAACTCTGGAATTAATGCATTATATAACAGGGGTAGGATTAGCTGCTACATTAAATGTGGAAAAGTAACCAGGCAATTAGTAAGCTTTCCCACTACCGCCCTTCCCCTTATGGTTTAGTTGTAAAGCAGAAGACACAGCTATGACAGCCAGGAAAGTGATTGATGTTGTCACACATTTGCTAATGTTAAGCTTTATGTGCAAGTTTAGTTACTGTCTTTTAATCTTTTTAAAAGGTAATTTTGTCAGTCTCCTTTTAACTGCAATTTAAAAGTACACGATCTGACAGCTTAGAATATGCTTTTTACACTTCCTTGGCCTTTGGTTCAAACCCAAAAGCTTATTTTTTAATAAAGGCCATTTTCCTCATAAAATTTTGAGTTTCACAAATATATAAAGAAATGACTTAGCCAGGCAAGGTGGGTTTTGCCTGTAATCCCAGCACTTTGGGAGGTTCAGGTGGGTGGATTGCTTGAGCTCAGGAGTTCAAGACCAGCCTGGGCAACATAGCTAGACCCTGTCTCTACCAAAAACAATACAGAAAGTTAGTCGGGCATGGTGGTGTATGCCTGTAGTCCCAGCTATTTGGGAGGCTGAGGTGAGAGGATCGCTTGAGCCCAGGGATTTGAGGCTGCAGTGACCTAGGATGGTGCCACTTCACTCTAGCCTGGGTGATAGAGTGAGACCCTGTCTCAAAGAAAAAAATGTGTTTGGAGATTTGTTTTGTATCCTATAGAGATACTTGGTAATTTGGTAAGGAACCCTAAAAGTCTCACTACCATATGGTTTTCTCTTCCTTTCAGAGATTAGGGACTAGTTTAACATATTATCAAACATCTATATTTGGAGGTGACATTTATTTATATTGGCCTTTTCCCCCGAAGCAAATCAAGTGCATTCTTTTGATCAAATTTAGTTCTAAAGATGAAAACATAAAATCAGAATCTCCCCAAATTTTTAAAGAAATGAAGTTAGTCATTATTCCTTAGCACTTCAGCTGTTCTTACTGTTTAGGGTTTCATCTTTAAAAAAGATGAAAAGCCAACTCCATGATATTGTTGAGGTGCAACATGACCTTCAGGCTCAAGTGTGTGACTGGTGCCAGTGTAACCCCCATGAAAGTTATTTGTCAATACATATCATGAACTTTAAATGTTTCCTTTGAAGTACTGAGTTTACTTCTGGGAAGGTATACTAAGGACATAATTTTAATTTTAAAGGTTTAAACAGAAATAACTTTTCAGTAGCATATCAAAAATTACAAAACACCTTATATACTTAATAATGGAAGAATGGTTAAGTAAATTTTTATGCCTATTCTCTGAAGTACTATGGAGATATTTTAAATGTTTATGAATATTCTGGAATAATATGGAAACTTTTAGTCAATAAATACTAATTAAGGGTCTGATCTAAGTACTGAAGATAAAAAAGATGTGTAAGAACCCTCAAGGAGCATAAATAGAGTGAATAAAACCTGTAAACAAATATATGTAATACAATGTATTTTAAGTGCTCTGTAGGAAAATGTACATGATACAGTGGAGGCCCAGAGGATAGTGGATGCTATGCTTAGTTCTACCTGTCTGGGGTCAGAAAATACTTTATAGAATGATGCTAAGTCTTTAAAGATTAATTCACCAGGCCCATGGGAGAGGGGAGGGAAGGGAGAGGATGGGTAAGATATTCCAGACAGAACAATCTATGGAAGCAAAGGCCTATGTTGTTTTATTGTTTTTTAGTATGCTGTATATAAACACAATAACCACCTGCTTATAGAAAAACTGTTCTTATGGAATTAAATAAACCTACATGTTGACAGTAGTCTTAAGGTGATTTTTTTTTTAAGAGATGGGGTCTCACTATCACCCAGGCTAGAGTACAATGGTGCGATCATAGCTCACTGCAACCTCCAGCTCCTGAGCTCAAGGGATCATCTTGTCTCAGCCTGCTGAGTAGCTAAGAAGACTACAGATGCAGGCCAGGGCACTAGCCCTGGCAAATTTTTTTTTTATTTATTTTTTGTAGAGATGGGGTTTTGCCACATTGCCCAGGCTGGTCGCAAACTCCTGCTCTCAAGTGATCCTCCTGCCTCAGCCTCCCAAAGCACTGAGAGTACAGATGTGAGCCACCATGCCTGGTCCTGATTTGTGTATACTTTCTAAATTGTAAATATAACTTTTTATAATAAAAAATAAACATAAACAATAGATTCATACACAATATGATCAAAGAGATGATCTAAATTTTTGATAAAGCTAGTGATTTGTAAAGATTCACCAACCATACTTATCATAATGGAGCTCCCAAAATGCTATTAAATGAATGAGTGAGTGACTCCACACATGGATGTAGAGGAAGAGCTCAGTCTCTTTCCTCTTCATACAAATCTCTGAATGCTACCCTTAGCATTAATAACTAGATTTCCCTGAGCCCAAGAAATCTAAAACAGATCAAATGGTGACTTAAAGGGTCATAATGTGGAAGAGGGAGTAGAATTGTCCTTTTTTCCAAAAGGTAAGTCTGGGCTAAGTGGTTGGCTGCTTTTTAGAAATCACTATATGGAAGTACTGGAGTGTCTAAATTTAGAACTGTGAAATGGTGACTCTCTCTCACTGACAGTATTCAGGCACAGTCTGGGAGACCCTCTAACAGGATGCCATGGAGGGGGCCTCAGCACTGGTGTGCAGGACAGAGGGATTACTTCTAAGATCTGTTAAGATTCTATAATTCCAAAATAGGCTAAATTGATTAAATCATTCAAAAGGAAAGGAATTATTAATATGAAATTGTCCTAGACCAATGGTTCTCAAAGTGAGGCCCCTGGAACAATATCAGTATCACTTGGGAACTTGTTAGAAATCTTGGGCCCCAAGACAGACCTGCTAAATCAGAAAGTCTGGGGGTGGAGCCCAGCCCTCAGGTGATTCTGATGCAAAATTTTAGAGAACCACTGCCCTCTACCATCTTTGCTTTGTTCAGTGAAGCTTATATTGTTGGTATGGCATTCTAACAACTATGCTTTATTTAACATTATTCTTGTGTAGTCTTAGTCTTAGTCTTTCCAAAACAGATTTCAACATTGTCTCCTCCTTGACTAGAGTTCCTGTATCTCTTACAGGTGTTGGGAAATCTTCATTAGTCCATCTTCTATGCCAAAATCAAGTGCTGGGAAATCCATCATGGACTGTGGGCTGCTCAGTGGATGTCAGAGTATGTGTCTTTTATATTTTAGTTTTTCAGTAATCATACTAAAGATAAATGCTTCAAACTATATAATCAAATTACAGTACTATGGTCAAGATTAATAATAATAGCTGGGATTTATCAGATTCATACTGTGTGCTAGGTACTATGCCAGTTGCTTTGCATGTCTCTTTTTAGTTCATGTTTTTAAAACTGAGATGTGTAGATGCAGAAACTAAGGTAGAGTCAAAATTTGAACAGGTTGTCTGATGCCACAGACTTCAGTTTTAATCACTATGCCATATATCTAGAGTTCACATAGCATCCTCCTTAAATAATTCTGCCTAAGTTTGTGCTATTAAGACTGCCAACTTTTAGCTAGAAGTATAATGTAAAGGCAAAAGCTCCTGGAGCTACATGTCTGAGTCATTTGTTCCATCTTGCGTTTGGGAATCTGGTATAGTTTTCATTAAATTAAATATCTTCCTAGATACAGTTCTTTGCTAATGCCAGCTAGTTCTGACAAGTCTCTCATCTGCTGGCACACCTCTCTCCTTTGAGTTAAGAAACATATAGGGAAGGAATGGTAGTTGGCTAGATTAATAGCTATTTCCCTTCCGTTCTTTGAAGCTATTGTTCTATAGTTCTCATTTACATTGCTGCTGATTAGAAATCTTCCATCAGACTCTTACTCATTTTTAAGATAATTTCTTCTTTGGTTGCTTTTAAAATATATATTTTTTAAATCTTTGATACTTTGAAGTTTTGCTAACCTATGTCTACATATAGGTTTTTTTTATTCATTCTATTCAGGAGTAGTCATGGTTCTCATGTCTTTATTTTTCAAAATTTTAAGCCATTATCTGTCTTCCCTCATTTCCTCTATCCCTTCCTCTTGACTTTCTATTAGATTTTTGTTCTTTGTAACTTTTAATATTTCTCCTTGCTGCCTTCTGGATGATGTACTCATATCTGCCTTCCAGTTAACTAAGAATCTCTTCAACTATGTCTAATCTGCTTTTTAATATATCTACTCAGTTTTTCATTCCTAATACCTGTAATTTTTAATTTCTAGATATTCCTTTTAGTTCTTTTTAAAATGTAAAAATTTTCCAAAATGTCCTGATCCTTCACATGGTGTCTGCTTTTTATTTTAATTATTTCTAACATACTTACTTTATGGTTTCTTTTGGATTATTTTATTTTTCTGGAGGAGAGGTAGCTATGCTCCTTGCTGTATCTCCTTGTATGGCTTGTAATTCTTTAAAATGATCACATCTCCAACAAGATTTTTTTCCTCTCCCTGTGGAAGTCTTGTATACTGTATTATGAAAGTATCTTTATACAGTTCCTTTTCTGTTATTGCCAGGACCCTAAGGATTTCAGTTTCTTAGCTCGGAGTTTCCATGCTCTCTAGATAATGTAAATTCCCCAGCATCTGATTGTAGCACAGACCTGTAGTTTCCATTTTTCATGGACCATTTATCTTCTCTCTACCTTCTGTCTGAGGTTCCTGACAGTAAGTTTTTGGCATTTCCCTGAACCTGTGGATAATATTTTTCCAACTCTCTCTTTTCACTGACTAGGCAGCTCATCAAAGGTCCAGATTTCAAAAAGCCAACTACAGTCTAGTCTTCATCACTCACCCACATATACTTTTGCCTTTAAAGCTGGAAAACAGGTCTGCTATTTCTGGATGGGCGTTAAGACTCCAGGCACCAGCCCCTGAAGCTATATCTGAATCTATGTCAGTTCCCACTTCTCACTCTGATTTTAAGTTTTTTGTTCATTTCTAGCATTTGGGGATATTCCTTTCTTTCTCTTAACTTTTTCTTGAGCTAATCTTCTCTGTCTCTCCTGGCTCTTCTCTTTCTGTCTGCCTCTAAGTATTTGTATAGTGTTTCTGTAAGTTTGAAGTAGAAGCGGACCTATTTTGTGTCATTTTAGCCAACATGTTCCTAGATTCAGTGACAACTTTATTTAGGCTTGGGAGACACAATAGCAAGTTCTGGACAAATTTTCCTTTTGGATTTTTCTAGCTCCTATTCTGTGAAAGAGCATGACATACTGAAAAGAAACTTAGATTTAAACCCTCACCTCCTAAGTCAGTTGCCCTTCGCTTCTGAGTGACCTTAATCAGTTTACCTTCTTGAGGCATAGTTATATCATCTGGAAAATAGAGGTCAGTAACATCTCCTTTATTAGGTCTACAGGTTTGTAGGAAGGATCAGAGAAGCTTAATAATGGGAAATTATGGTCTAGTGCTTTACAATGTGAAGTTGTAATTGAACTTTAGTCCAATTTTCTGTCTTGAGTGTAGCTGATGGCAAAGTTTCCTTAAGAAACTTTATCTCAGCAGTCCCTTGTATGTGAGAGTGGAGACTTGATTGTGTCTGCAAGGAATGCTTTTGTGCAATGTCCCAGAGAGCAGGCTAACATGAGGTTCAAGACACTGACCAAGTTTTAGAAGTAACATCAGTAATTCCCTTTAGAAACTTCTGCTTTGGGGCTGGGTGCTGTGTCTCATGCCTATAATCACAGCCTTTTGGTAGGCCACGGTGGGTGGATCACCTAAGGTCAGGAGTTTGAGACCAGCCTGGTCAACATGGTGAAACCCCATCTCTACTAAAAATACAAAAATTAGCCAGGCATGGTAGCACACACCTGTAATCCCCAGCTACTCGGGAGGCTAAGGCAGAAGAATCACTTGAACCTGGAAGGTGGCGATTATAGTGAGCCAAGATCAAACCATTGCACTCCAGTCTGGGCAACAAGAGTGAAACTCCATCTCAAAAAAAGAGAAAGAAAAGAAAAGAAAGAAACTTCTTCTTTGGGAGAAAGTGAAGCTGGAATTCTCTTGCAGTTAGCTTGTGGTAGACTACAGATTTTTGAACTCTGCATAGTTCCAAGGAACACTGGGGAAGGCATAAAACTGCCCAAAAGGAGACTGGGCTAAAAACTACAGCAGTCAAAGACAAATATGCCTGTAATCCCAGCACTTTGGGAGGCTAAGGCAGGAATATCATTTGAACCCTCACTGCTTGAGGTTGCAGTGAGCCGAGATCACGCCATTGCATTCCAGTCTGGGCAACAAGAATGAAACTCCATCTCAAAAAAAGAAAAAGAAAACAAAAGAAAGAAAATTCTGCTTTGGGAGAAAGTGAAGTTTGGAATTCCCTTGCAGTTAGCTTGTGGTAGAGTACAGATTTTTGAACTCTCTACATCGTTCCAAGGAATACTGGGGAAGGCATGAAACTGCCCAAAAGAAGACTGGGCTAAAAACTACAGCAGTCAAAGACAAATGTCATGCCTGTAATCCCAGCACTTTGGGAGGCTGAGGCAGGCAGATTACTTGAGGCCAGGAGTTGGAGACTAGCCTGGCCAACATGCAAAACCCCGTCTCTACAAAAAAAAATGTAAAAATTAGCCAAGGTGGTGGCAGGCACCTGTAGTCCCAACTACTCAGGAGGCCAAGGCAGAAGAATCACTTGAACGTGGGAGGCAGAGGCTGCAGTGAGCTGAGATTGTGCCACTGCACTCCAGCCTGGGTGACAGAGTGAGACGCCGTCTTAAAAAAAAACAAAAAAATGAAACACAAATGTCATATAAGTATGTGACTGGGGTTACTACTGGTAAGAGTGTGGCTCTAATTGATTCCTTTAAAGATAATCTGATCTGAATTTTATTATTGTGGAAGAATGGGACATGGGCTGAAAGTGACTTGCTTTACTGTTTTGTATCTTAAGCCAGTTGTCTTTCTTTTGTTTTTTGTTTTTGAGATGGAGTTTTGTTCTTGTTGCCCAGGCGGGAGTACAATGGCGTGATCTCAGCTCACTGCAACCTCCGCCTTCCAGGTTCAAGCAGTTCTCTTGCCTCAGCCTCCTGAGTAGCTGGGATTACAGGCGCCCACCACCGAGCCTGGCTATTTTTTTTTTTTTTTTTTTTTTTTTTGTATTTTTAGTAAAGACAGGGTTTTAGCATGTTTGCCAGGCTGGCCTTGAACGCCTGACCTCAGGTGATTCACCCACCTCAGCCTCCCAACATGCTGGGGTTATAGGAGTAAGCCACCTCGCCTGGCCATGTCTTCTATTTTTGAGAAGAATGCATTGCTTGAGTGACAAGATAAGCAAAAGGTGTTTTTAAAGGAAAGTTGTCATAGACATGTAAATCATTTTGACTGTTGTTAGAATAAACTGAATAGTTCTTTTCTACAGAAAGAATAACTAAAAAAGCCTTTACCTAAATAATTTGTGAGAACACTGTTACCTGTAGCAGCTTTTATATTGCAGTTACAGTTTTTGTGTTAGTGAAACCTGCGAGAAGGAATCTCCAGAATTAGTATAGATTCATGAATACACACTTTTCTAAACTCTTAGAAACAGTTGCCTTTTTTACTACACATCTATTAAGAGCCAACTAAAAACAGAGATAATAGTGATGATCATGTAATCATTTAATCTTAAGTTCCAGGTAAAGCTAATGAGTTTAATGTATGTACTCAATAATTAATAACATTTTGGAATTAGTATTTAGTACAGAAGTGTTCATAACTGAACTGAAGAGAAAAGGAAGAAAAGTTTTATGTGGTTGTATTCTTTATTCATTCCTGTCTTTAACTTTGTTGTCCCAAGTCTAATAGAAGTAATATAATTGCCTAATTACTCTTAATTATGAAAACAATACAACAAATTCAATCTTTTCACAAATTGTATATAAGGAAATTGATTTGTCATTTCTAGTTCACTTTAATGGGATTTTAACTCTAATTTACACATTGCATATAATTAATATTTATTGAATTCCTCTTTGGACAACATGACACTGTACAGGCTCTGGAGAGAAATTAAAGGAATAGTCTCTGTCCTCACTAAGCCTATGAGGTAGGACACTTTTTATCTTACTTTGCCTAGGCATCTATTTACATACTAATTCATTTAATTCTTACAACAACCCTATGAGGCAGGTACTATTAGTGCCCCTATTCATTTTGCATAGAAGCAATTAAAGCACAGAGGTACTACATGGCT